AAAGGAAAGAAGGGAAAGGAAATATGATGAGAAATGGAAATAAAGTCTTTGTAAATAGGGAAGGGTGGAGGGGTTAAGGGAGGGCTAGGAATGGGGAAAAAATAAGAACCAAGATGCATCATGTAAAGGTACAAGTTCCCATTGAGAAATGTAAATGTATTGTATACCTAACATGTACCAATAAAAGAATTTAAGTTAAAAGAAAAAAGAAAAAGCAACTGTATTAACACCCAGCAACGTAAAACTGGAGAAAGAAAAATAAATGGCAGAATTCATGATTACCTAGACATCATTGACCCCATTAGCTGCCAGCTGTGAGGTGTGCAAGATGCACGGATAGGTCACAGAAACTTGGGTGCAAATTCTCTGATACTTCTTCCATCTGAGAGGTGGAGTCTGTGTCTTCTCCCTTGAATTTGAGCCATCTTTCAACAATAATTTAAGACATACTAGAAGAAAATCTTTCTACCCAGTTGATTGGTTCCAAACAAAATCAAAGAAAAAAAAAGGAGGACTATACTCTGGCTTTCTCTGTTTCTATGTAGGGAGGGAAAGAGGAGGCTGAGGAGAATCCAGAGGTTTTAGCCACAGAGGTGAAGATTTGGAGGGACAGAATGGCCAGCCCATCTTCAGACACTTGAAGGGTTTTCATGAAGAAAGAAAATTAGACTTGTACATCACAGGTGCAGGAGGCAGATTAAGGGCAACCCCCAAAGATTATTTACCCTGAGAAACAACCTCCTACCAGCTGGAAAGTCTGCGCCAAAAGGGAATGTTGGCCCTGGTAGGCGACAGGCTCAGGCTGTCCTTGTTCCTGTCATTGGGGCTGTGAGGGTCCCTGATTGCACAGAGTGTTTTCTGTGAACTGACTGTGTCTTCCCTGATGTAACCCCATGATCACTCCATGGTTGGTGTCGCCTTCATCCCTGCTGTGCAGGTGGGAGAACTGAGTGAGCTGAACTGAGTTCACCTGTGCAAGGGAATGTTTGCCATCATGGTCCTGGAACCCTTCCTTTCTCACAGCCTTCAGGCCTCTTCCAACCAGGGCTCAAGTGGCCTCCAGTCTCACACTTTGTGCCTGCCTCATCTACTCTCCAAGGTCCCTTCCTGGCAGCCAAGTTGAGGGGCACTGCTGTGGCCCACTGGCCATTATGCTGTTTCACTTGGCTTTTATGATGGAATTTGATTTTCATTTGAACCAAAACAGTAAAAAGTCAAAGGTCCATATAAAAACCCAAGGATCTGACATTTCTTGGCCATCCTGGGCCCAGGCTCTTCCCTGGACTCGTTGGCCAGGGCACAGGTCCTCCAGATTGTTATGTTGACCTTGACACAAGGACCAAGTGCCAGCCATCATCCTGTTGTGATGCCACTCCTGCTTTCCTTATAGGGAAAGGAAATTTCTTCTCCCAATGATGTCTGAGTCAAAAGGGTGGAAGTAGTAATCACACTTGGAAGGGCTCTGTGTTGAGAGAAAGACTATTTTTCTAACAAAGTGAATAATAAACCTATAATTTCCATAAATAAATAATGCTCTATCCCCTTGTATTTTCCTTCCTGCCCCCTCTGCACACTTGAAATTTAGCCCCTAATATGATTGCTTCTGTGGCTGTTTGCTTTCACTAAATGTGACCACATCAACTCCAGATCCATGGCTGTTTCCATGTTGTGATTTGATGCCCTGATTTTGAGTGGACCCCTATGGCCACCTCTGTGATGGAACATGATGGTTGAGACCCCGCCCAGTTTCCAGGACGAGGTCAGAGAAGTCATGGCCTGCTCTCTGTTGGGACTCTTGCCCTCAGATCCTAGCCACCATGTGATAAAACAGCCCAGGCTCCAAGGAGAGGGTGCATGTGGGTGGCCCAGGCCACAACCAGCACTAACTGCTAGTTAGAAAAGGACACCTCACTGTTAGTTTCAAATTCTCAGCATGTTCTCCAGGGGAAAGAAAAAGGACTGAGTGAGATACTCGATCTGATTTCACCATCTGGCCATCACATCACCCTCAGCCTTTGTCTTCCCAGACACTGAGGAACAGAGACGAACTGTCCCCAAACTTGTGCTATTTGAATTACTGACCCACAAAATCTGCAAGCCCAACACACAGCTGTTTTCTCCAACTAAGTTTTGGGATAATGTTACACAGCATCAGAGAACCAGAGGGAGTCCATCAGGCAACAGTCTCTTAAGTGGTCATTCCACCTTGTGTCTGTTTTCTCCCTTCTCAATTAAAACATGATTAATTGAATCTGGGGACAGGAAAAGATACACCTGCATTCACATTGCTACGCATATGCTTTGTCTTTTAAAAAAACTGTGTCAGAGCTTCCCTTGCTACTACTGAACCCTGCATTTCTCTGTGACCTGCCACAGGTCCCGTGTCCATCAGGGGTCGATATCAGCCAACACCCCACAAACCAAGACGTTCCTGACAGCAGCAAGATGCGGTACACAGGACAAGTTCCCTGCAACCTGTTCATGCTCAACGATGAGGAGGACTGCGTGAAGGCCCTGACTTGGATACTGAGCAACTCTGTTACCACAGAAGGTAAGGATGTTGGGGACTGTGGGTCTTTCCGAAAAGCGCTTTATTTTTATAATGAGTCTCATTCTTCATCTAGTTCCAGTATATAATTAGTGCCTAATTAATTCCAACCAAATCATTCATCTGTCATGCTTTGTTTTCCAGATTAATTTACAACTTGTTGTCATTTTTGGATACCCAGCATGTTTGCTAGGGGAAAGAAAAAGGCTTGAGATAGTTTAATTATCTATAATTATTTTATTACACAAAATGAATATCCGAAGAGCAAAGCATGGCTAAAATCATTAACTAATTAAAGAATAATTTAATAAGCAAACATGTTTAGCAATTATATGGAAAATATGTCTCCTTTTGTGCAGCTGAAAAGCCCGAGGAAGGGAAAGAAAGGGCCGCATCCGGAAAGGCTCTTTTTTCCTCTTCACAACCCATTGTTCTCTTTCTTACTGTTGCCTGTGGAGACTGGTCCTTCCCACAAACACACAAACTAGAGTTGCATACCACTTTTGGAATCAGAATGAGAAAGTAAAACATGAGCACAGATGCCTGCATCTCCCTAAAGAGTCTTCTCAAGCATCCTTCTCCACATTGCTGGGATTTCCTTGAAATTATTGGGCTCCACCAGCAAAGCAGGGGCAGCTGCTGGGGTGTCTTCAGCTAGAACCTGGGAGTCAGGGTTTGGAGGTGACTTAGTGCCACCAGCTCTCTTCTACCCAAGGCTGCAGGAGTGGGGTGTCAGAAACCTAGCTGAGTTCCACAACCACCTACAGCTGGAGCTGGATTCTAATCCTGTCCCCTAGTTCAGACCACTAAGGAACCAGAAAAGAGGCACTAATATGAAAAATTTAAATATATTCATTTATTTTATGTATTTATTTCAATATAATTTAATTGTAGTCTTTAACACAATACATTAGGATTAAATATAGTGTCTTTTGATTTCTGGTAGATAATCTAGATCCACCAAACTTTTTGCCAAGTCAATGTATTTACTATATTAAAAGTTTTTAATTTAAACTTGCATCTAGTGATGCATGCCTGTAATTCCAGAACTTAGGAAGGCTGAGACAGGAGGATGGCAGGTTCAAGCCCATCCTGGGCTAGACAGTGAGTTCAAGGCCAGCCTGGAATGCATAGCAAGACCTTGCCTCGAAAAAAAGTTATTAATTTAAATGGGTATTAAGTGGCATTCAATATACTGCTGGATTTCATTTGCTAATACTTTATAGTCCATTTACCTCTAAATTCATAAATAAGATTGGCCTGTAGTTTTTTTCTTTGTTTCCTTGTTAGGTTCTTGACTGGTCTCATGAAGTGCTTTAGGGGGAGCTTTCCACATTTTTAGGGGGTTTGAAATACGAAGTGACTTACAAGTTGGACAGGAATAAGCTGTAAAACCAGCTGGGTCTGGAGCTTTTGGGCAGAGGTAGGATATAGCTGTATACAGCAAGCCAGTCGTAAAACCTGTCATGAAGTCTTTTCATGTTTGCATCACACTTGGTGTTGTTTTCAGTTTTGCATCTGTGTATGCTTAAACCTGTTTCAACATTTCATTCATTCTTTAATAACTGCCCTTGACCTATGTAGTCTTTAAAAAATTCTCTAATTCAGAGGAGTTTAATCTAGGGGGCCAGTGAACTTTTACTGTCAAGTTCCAGATAGTAAATGTTTCCAACTCTGCAGGCCACCCAGTGTCAGTTGCAACTATTTGTCTCTGGCCAGATAGCAAGAAAGCAGACAAGGGATCTCCATATGTGAGTGGCGTGGCTGTATGCCAACTCAACTTTACAGAACTTACAAAAATAGGTGATGAGCAATGTTTGCCAAACCCTGCTTTATCCACAGAATCTGTGACACATCATTAGCATCTCCTCAAGCCCAGACTCCAAATGCAGCTTCAGCTCCCTGAAAGCACAGAAGCCAGTGGTTCAACACAAAATACACAGTGGTTTCAGGGCTGCACACAGCACTGCAGCATGTAGTACTTTCAGCTTGATTTGATATTTGGGTATTGGGCCAATGGAGCATCTTAACCAAGATGAGGACCTTTGAAAGTGGCAGGGTATGCTCCTGAGGTTGAAGCTGATGGCAGAGAAATCACAAAGCAAGAAGCACTGTGGTCTCCTTCCAGAAATAACCAGTCCATAGGTTTTAAGTGGCAGCTGCTCCGAGCATCATAGTGAAATCTTGTGCCATCCCATATAGGACAGAACACAAATCATCCCTTTGTCCATTGAATCCATGCCATACATACTACCCGCCTGTTAGTCAGGATCTTGTTTATCTGATCAACAATTGTGGTTTCCTAGGACTTCTGTCCAATAACCCTTATTTTATCTAATAATGGCCTCAAAGTTGTAGAATAGTGATGATTGCAATTCAGATAGGCAGAAGAGAAGCCCCAAAGTGCTGCCTTTAAGTGAAAAGGTAAAGCTTTGTCAGCTGCATATGCTTAGGAAAAACAGTACAGATATTCCTCATTTAATGACTGAGTTCCAGTCCTGCAACTAGGTCATTAAGTGACTTGGTCAACAAATGAGGAGTTGTATATAATATTTACATTACAATATTCAGGACAAAGAAATGGTCAAAGGAAACTCCTTCTTGATGACTGTGCTTTTATTTGCATAACTCTTATATGCAGCGCTGTAGTGGAAGACTGAACATAAAACTACAGCACTGTACTATACAGTACAATCAGCAAAATTACAGTACTGTGTAAACAAGTTGTGCTGTACAAAAAAACATTGAGGCTCTATCAACAAGATATACAGAACTGTACAAAAAAATAAAAAGTCGTAAGTCTAAACACTTGTTATAAAAGTAGATTGTTAAGGAGTTCTATGGCCATCCCTGCAGTTACAAGCATCCCCTGGGGGCTTGGATTGTGTCCCTTCAGACTGGGGACTGTGGTACTGTCACCACTGCACACATGGATTCCTGCTCCACACTGATGGGGTTCCCTGGAGCACCAGTCCCAGTCCTGCCATCGGGGTGGCAGCAAATTCGAGGACTTCAGTCTTCACACTGAGGATAGAAATCCATGCACACCAGTTCCAGGCAGCCAATAGAGGCACAGTGGCCTCCACAAGAGCCCTGGAGGCCATGAGGTTTGCAGAAGGCTGCGGAGAAAGGATTTGAGCTGAGCTGTGAGTGAGGACTGGATAAGCAAGTGGAGAGAAAAGTTGGGACGTTTGAACTGTTTTCAAAACAGGATGGCCGGGAATCTGTGAAGGACACAGTGGGGGTGAGAGTAAAGGACAGGGAGCAGATACTGGGGAGAACTCCAGTGTTCCCCAAGTCTATGTTTAACTGTTTTCTTTTTAAGAAATGAGCAGGTGAGGGGAAAGGGGCAGGAGTGAGGCTGTGGCTTTAGGGAGCCACCTTTCCGTTGCAGTGCCCAGGACGGCAGAGAACAAAGGTTCTGGTTGGCATGGGTCATGGGGATGGCAGTGGCCAGTGGGAGCTGGAGTAACCATGGACACAGATGATGGCTGGCGCACGCACCCGTGATCCACTTGGCGGTCCTGTGGGCACAGCCATATCTAGCTTGTTTCCAAGTCAGCTATGGTGCAGGGGAATTTGAAGCCAGGAACTGGGAGTCTGGTGTGGCAGTGAGAAATCCTCTTCCTCTTGTGTCACCTTAACAATGCCAGAAGAACTTTTCATGATTGTTCACCTTCACTCTCTTAGTGCCAATTCCCCCTTTTCTGAACAGTGGTGAGAGGGACGTGGGGAGAGGCTGTGACAGGCGCCTGTCCATCAGGGACCACATTGAGTCCTGGGGATGCCCAGGGACATGACGGTGGACAGCTTGTTCTGAAAGGATGGCAGAGGCTGGGTAGGTTCCTAGGAGGAATTGGCCTTTCCTCTGAGTTCTACCCACTGGAAATACGCAGCCACTGCTCCTGAGTGTGGTGTCATGTCACTGTCCTCTGTTTCCAAAAGGGAGCAGGCTGAATTTCAGGGCTTCCACTCTCAAGGATGTAAAGCCCCTAAACTGTGACATCGTGGGCTCCCACCTGCCTGCAGTCGCACACAGAACCCAAGGATCAGCTGGAGTCTGGGAGGACCCAGCAATCTGAGACACGAGAACCAGAGATTGATGGCGTTAACTGACACAAATTAAAATTCACCTGCTGTTACCTCTGTTCTTTCCATGAAAATGAAAAGTAGGGTGAAAATATAAAACCACCTTAATGGCTTGAAATGGATCAATTATTTTCATCCTTAGCTAAGTACAGTTTGTTGCCTTATTAAAAGCATGTTTGAGGAAAAGCTAAACATTAAAATTCCAGCGCATGAGTCACCTACAAAGCCTTCGTCATGTTCTATCTGATGTTTTTTCCCCTTTTCATCTAGCAGAGCAAAGTGTGGGTAGTCAGGACTGGGTCATAGAAATCTCAGGCTTTGACATATAAAACTTAGAATGAGCATTCTCTATTTGTGGACCTGGTGGCTCTTTAGTGTTTAGGTCATAATTAATCTTATGATCTCTGTCTGAAATTCTTTCATTTTCTACTAAGGTGCTAAAGATACTTATCCAGCTAATGTGCCAATCAGGGTATTTTCAGTGATGTGTTTTAGATCTATTTGCAAGTGCAGTATGATGGCACAAGTACTGGTTCTGAATCCAGACCTGCTGGGGCCATGTGCTGCCCAACCACCCACTTGCTGTGTGGCCTTGAACTCATTTCCCAACCTCTCTGTGCTCAGTTTCCTGGAGAAAATAAGAAAACCCATCTCATGGAGCTGGTCTAAGGATGAATGAGGTCTTGTATAAGCACTGTGTGCCACTTCTGAAGCGGCAAAAGCAAATCTAAGTATTTGTTGAAATATAATAGACTAGATAAATACGCATAGCAACAACTAAAATACCCAGACCACAAAATGCAGTCTATGATTCTTGTTTCCTCTGGCCTTAAAAAGTATAATAACTCTGAAGAACTCTGTTTTATTGTTTATTTGTTTGTTTGGGTTTTTGTTGTTGTTGTTGTTGTTTTTGA